GTATTTTAATTTTAAATAAAACAAAATAAAATCAATTAAATACTCTCGTCTGTTCTCAAAATTCTCGCCATTGAAGGTGACTTCCCGACTGGTGGAAGTCTCTAAAATCGTGAAACGGTCGAGAACCAGTAACTGGTAAAAATACCACGTTACACCTTATATCTGTGATTTTTAAATTTCAAGATTTTCATCTCTTTTGATGGTAAAACTATTTTGCACGTATTGATAATGAAACAATCCTGTCTATGGCTCTTATAATTTTTTTCCGTATGAAAATGACATAGACACCGATCACAAAGCCACATACGGTGTTCAAAACCGGAGATTTGCGCGCTTACACGTCTTGAGAGATCTCTCATCCATGGAAAGTGATAACATCACATGAACATCAGCCGCAACATGAACATTCGAAAAATCGAGAAGTCAATGAATTGTGGGTATGCGCGAGTTCTTCCTCCTGAGTTAGAAAGGGAATATTTCCTCCTCACTGTTCACTCCACATTCAATTCCTTAAACATTAATTGACAATTGATTATTTTTCTCAAATTTTGGAATAGCACTTAATGTGATGGGGTAGCGAATGTTTGCATAATCAATTAGCTTTCGACGGTGTGGAAGAGTTGCGGTGGTATAATCGGGATATGATGAAGTAGCATATCGATGCGTCTTTACTGGATAGAGAGCAGCAATAACTGATAACTGATTTTTGACATTGCAAAAGCTTTTTCACATCGAATATCATAGGGCAGCTCGACGTACGTTGACGAGCCACCCTTCAATGGAACATATCTGTTCATATTGATCATTAAATTTATAATTTCACGCAATTCCCATCCCGAGTCACGTTCTTGGAAATCACCGATTTTTGGAAGGGAAGGCTCACTCACATTATCATCAAACCATGTTGCTAGATCTGTAACTGGAAGAATGATTTCATTCTTCGTATTGAAATATTTAACTTCACTAGTAATCACTTCATCCCTTTTCAATTTGAATTTGCACGCTAAAATAGTATTTGCCTGTATATTGCCATTTTGTTCGAGAACACTCCTACTGCAGGAGCCGGATAGCTCAGTTGGGAGAGCACCCGATGCATAATCGGAAGGTCCCGGGTTCAAGTCCCGGTCTGGACTATCCATTTTTTCAGTAATTTTTCTCGCAAAAATTATATGGAGAATTATCCTGTTCCCCTTCCTACCTCATCCAAA